CGACCTCGTCTGTCTCAGCACACCCAGATCCTATTCGAGAATTAGTCCCAGGACAGTCATCCAGGAAATAAGTAATGTCAGCGAATCCAATGACACTGCCCGCCTAACCGACACCCACCAGAGGAATCAATTAAAAAGCAGACAGAATTTCGGGCTTGTTACCACAAAATTTAATAACTTTTCTGAATAGTCTGGAAGTCGCAATAAAAGTAAAAATGACACCAGCTAAGTTAAGGAGCAGTGATTTGGAGATGGCCTAATTAATTGCACGGAATTTAAGCGCCTTCTAATTTTCCTTGTACAATAAAGCCTTGGTCAAAAATAAGCAAAGTGAAGAATCCGATACAATAAATCAAAGATAAAGTATTCAAAAACAGATTACGATAATAATTCAAATGTACAATCAAATTAAGCGTAGTTCATTTCCGGACCAAAGATGATCGGTGAAAGATATCGATTGTAGTTTCTAGACATTGACGGAAGTTATAATCATGTACACCAAGCCCGTGAAATTTGTGGTCACTGCGACGAATAAAATCAAGACCGCGGCCAATTTTTACTATCCAACCGTTGTCAAAACTGCCAAAGTAAAAAACAAGCAGATATCAAGGTTGAACTAAGCAATATTTAAATGGTAAAATTTAAGGCTCGATAGTTTTTAACGAGACTTTCTTTACTTTTCTCGTCTCAATAGAGGAAATTATATATAATTGTAAAAGGGCAGAACACCAACACAAATTCTGGAATTTATTAATAAAGCCATTACAAATTTAAAAAGGGTAAATGATCTGAAGATGCTGAGATAAATAGAAAATTTGGCTTAAATGCAATAAATCAAATTTGATAAACCGGATTAAAATACAAGCACATCTAGATTTACCGAATCTCACGATCATGGAGCGTGCTGGAGAAGTCCAAAGTTAAAATGACATCACGTGCAGCCAAATCATTTTTTATGTTGTTCAGCTTTTCTAATTGATCGCACCGATTCTAAAAAATAAAATTAAGTGCTCTGACAAAATAAAAGAAATGAGTAAATAACACACGTTTTGGTCACATCCAGTGGTTAGATAAATGTTGCGCACAAGCGAGGAGGAAGATAAAAGAACTTCGCAGAAGTGTGAAAAGTTTTCTATCTATAATGAGATTAGAAATGTAAGGGCACACTTGATAGGAAGACCTGATGAAAGGATCTTCGACCCAAACGCTGCGGACAGATCCGTCATCAAGAAACCTTTCAAAAATACGCCTGTAGCCATATCCCT